GTTTTTGCCAGTCATGGAGCTTGAACTCAGGACCTGGGCACTGTCCCTGAGTGGCTTTTTGTTGAAGGCTAGCCCTCTACCACTTGAGCCACAGTGCCACTTCCAGCTCTTTCTGTTTATGTGGTACTAAGGAATAGAACCCAGCGCTTCATGCATGCTAGGCAAGCACTCTACCACTAAGGCACTAAGGCACATTCTCAGCTCCTAATGTATATTTTTATGATTGGCTTCTTTTCCCTAACAAAGTTTTTCAGGTTCATCTATGTTGCAATATGTATCATTGCTTTTGGCATTTTTTGGGGGGAGGGGTCAGTCGTAGGGCTTGAATTCTGGGCCTTGATGCTGCCCCTGAGCTCTTCAGCTCAAGGCTACTGCTTTACCACTTGAACCACAGCACCACTTCCAGGTTTTTCTGCTTATGTGGTGCTGAGGAATCGAACCCAGGGCCTCATGCATGCAAGGCAAGCTCACTCCGAACTGCCTTCCCAGCCCCAATTTTTTCATGTTTTGAGTAAGAGTTTTCAGGTGCTGTCCCTTAGCTTTTTTACTAAAGGCTTGCACTCTAATACTTAAACCGCAGCTTCACTTGTGGCTTTTTGCTGATTGGAGATAAGAGTTTCTCAAATTTGTCGGTCTGGGCTGGCTTCTAACTATCATCCTCAGATCTCAGCCTCCTATGTAACTAATATTACAGGCAGTAGCCACCAACACTTAACTCCCTAATTATATACATTTGTGGAATACAGTGACTTTATTTATATATGTATGTGTGTAATTAATGTGGATATCTCTTATCATTTTTGTAGTAAGAAACTTATTTTGAAATGTATAGTGCATTGTCTTTGACTATAGTTACCTCTTTTGTGTGATAGATCTCAAAACCACCTCCTGTCAGACTTTCTACCCTTTGGCCAGCAACTCCTCCTGTCCTTCTTAACCTCTCCTACCTGAAACTTTATAATCTTTGACCAACAACTTCTCTATCCCCTCACTTCCCCCTACTCCTCTCTGGTAACCATCATTCTACTCTACTTCTATGAGTTTATCTTTTAAAGATTCTACATGTGAGATCATGAGGTATTTTTCTTTTCTCTGTGAGGTTTATTTTACTTAATATAATGTCCCACACTTTCTTCATCTGTTGATAGATACTTAGCTTTGATGAATAATCCCGTGAACACAGAAGTGATTTCTCTTCCCCATAGTTTCACTTACCTTTGCATAGATTTCACTTCTTTGCATAGGATACCCAAAAGTGAGACGGTAGGATTGCTGGGTCATATCCTGGTAGTGGTGGTTGTGGGTTTTTTGGGGATTTTTTTGGTCATGGGGCCTTAGCTCTTCAACTCAAAGCTAGTGCCACAGTGTAATTTCCAGCTTTTTCTGCTTATGTGGTGCTGAGGAATCAAACCCAGGCCTCATGCATGCAAGGCAAGCACTCTACCACTGAGCTACCTCCCCAGCCCCTGGTTGTGGTTTTCTGCTTTTTTTTTCGGTGGCATTTGGATCAAACCCAGGGGGGGCTGGGAAGGTGGCTCAGTGGTAGAGCACTTGCCTTGCATGCTCGAGGCCCTGGGTTCGATTCCTTAGCACCACATAAGCAAAAAGAAAAAAGCCGGAAGTGGCGCTGTGGCTCAAGTGGTAGAG